ATTTTGCGCTATTTATGCAATGGCTGCTAGTGATGTCCTTCTGACACACTGCACGTTGCTTCTTCTTCTTCTTCTTCTTCTTCTTCTTCGTCTTCTTTGTGGCAGCCTTCCTGTTTAGATGTGAAAACCAACTCATCACGTGGTTGTGTATCATTTGTCATTGTGTAGACTGTGGCGTTAGTACAAGGCTTAACTCGAACATGCGGCAATTGGCGCAACTGAGTAGACAAGATATGTACGATTTTCGTACACAATGCCTGAGAAATGGAAGTATGGGTTGCCTGAATTGCTCTAGACGGAGATGATTGCATAGAAATCAGTAGGGCAATCACGAAGTTGCAAGCCTGTACAAGCCAATCGCTATTGCCGTCATATTTAGTGGACAGTTTTGGTAGAATGACATGCAACTATATTTACAGGGACTTGCTTGAACGACTTGAAGAAGATGTCGATATGGCGGACACCTCGGCGGATCGACTGTCTCTGCAGAAGCGCTGGTTTCCAGTCAAGCATTACCGCGGTGGCCTGGTAGTCGTTTAACCACTGGTCAATGGCCTCACCTTGTGCTCGACTATCCATTCTACATGACTGCACTCTATGCATTTATCAGAACGTTATGTAGTTGGAATGAAAAAGCCATTCACAAATTCAATTGCACTTTAATTTTGCGAAGTGATTGTGTGCAGGCTTGGGTGTCTAACTAATTGCCTTGTGACTGATGGGCTAACACTATGAAGCACAGCCAATTTTGTAGCAGGTTTCGCAGATGACTGGGGGTACCATGCACACTGTCTACCCCAAATCTCTTGTTCTCGGCATATTGAGGCAGCGACTGCTAAGATAGCCTGTGTAACGCAAGAGTTTCGGAACTGATGTGTGGAAGCAGACTTCACACACTCAAACTCCGAAACACCGGCTGGTTTTACCAGGTCCCATGCACGATGTCAAAGTGAGTGTCTGGAATGGGACGATTATTGCAAAAGGTTACAATTTGGCAAATTCACGTTTAAGCGAGAGTGCCGAACTTGTGCACGAGGTTTTGTTATGCAAAGCACGACTGTTCGTGCTGGAACAATGTTCTAATATTTGCATCAACGCAAGCGTTAGCGTCAATGAATTCATCGAGTTTTAATTTTGTTTTTTTTTGCAAACCGTCACATCGTGAACTATTGCATTTCGGAAAAATACGAACACTTCAAGAGAACTGATATTTCCCACCCCCTTCCATAAACCGATTGTAAATCCCGAAATTTAATTATTAAGTGTTTGCTTCGTAAAAATGCGTGCCCAATAAAACCGAGACCCGCTGTATTAAAAATTCAAAACGGTTGGTCACTGGGAGGCATGAAATTGGATTTAGTGTCACGCAAACTATTTGCATTCTCACGAAATTCCGCCAAATTATAACTTTTATTTCACAAAATCGTGACACATATCCTCAGCGGCGGCTCTTGGCACTCAGGGCATGAGCGGTGCAACTACCGAACTGTGATAGCATGCATCCGAATCAAAGTGGTATATCAACATTCGTGGATGTGGATGTGGAGTATACGAGCAAAGATTTTACATTCTGGTTGACTGGGTCATCAAGCTGATGCCATGTGAAGAACTGGGAGTCACGAGAAATGGTTTTGACAACTTAAATAAAGTCATACAATGTCAGTTTGGAGAGGCTTCGATTGGGAGTGTAAGGTGGACAGATTTAATCTCTCAGTGGGTTTCTGTAGGGGCAATCATTGAACGTGCAGTGGAGGTGTTGATTGTTTTGTGAGTCGACCTACCTACTTAGGCACGGTTGTGTGCTGATCGGATGCAGTGAATTGATCAAGATAAATCTCAAGTCTTCCTTCACTTCACAACTACTACTTAGAAACTTTGAACCCGATCGGGCAAGCTTCCGCTGAAATGCCTTCGCTGACTACACGACAAGTGGTGTGGCAACATTTTACCAAACTGCGAGGTTTTAGTAACAACAATCCAGTGGGTGAAAAAGTTTCTCACTTGCTTGACTGCGGTAACATTGTAGGAATTGATCAGTGGTAAGACCTGCGACCCAGACATTAGTAATAAAAAAAGTCTGTGATCAGAGGGTTCTTTTTAAATTGTCTGAGGTGATGTTCATTCGAAAACTGGATGTTTAGGGGGTGCGACGTCGACAGCGTCAGAGTTGTTCCCAAATAAATCAAAATGGAGCTAGCAATAAACCATCAGAACTTTATTTAGACCATTCATTGAAGACGTGAAGCGGCGCAATGATTTCAGTCTTCAGCACGTCTTAATCAGCGACCATCTATCGGCTACGCGTCTATCAAATGCATTATTCTGTCCATTGCACTCCGATTCTGTGAAGTAAAAAGTGGTGATGAAAATAAGACAAATGAACACGGCCATGGATGTGGCTCCTTTGTCAACAATTGACGGTACAGCAGAGGCGACGTCATGTCAATAGCTCTCACCACACCGAGTTGCACAATGTGGTGGGATTCAGCCTCGTCCATTATAAGCAGCCGCTATGAGCATCACTATGAGCAACATAACGCAGACCTTTATTTTTCATTGGTGCCATAACTGCATAATGCAAAATAAATCACACCACCATGTGAACTGGACCTGAAACGATGACAGGCCGGCCGAGTTAGGCATAGCAAGGAGGCCCTTTAGATTAAACTGAGGAGTTCAAGACAGGTAGTATGTTGGTATGCAAAAGCCATTATTGTGCTTGAATGTATTCGTGGGGGAGACGAATGACTTTAAAATCTGTTTGCAACCATTTAGCGCATCATCAGGCGGTTTAGGAATGGTCATCGGCTTCTAGATCGTTCATCTCATTGTGCATCACCTTGACCCGGGTTCTATAACCTAGTGAACATCAATCACCGATACCTTTAGACGAATTTGCAAATTTTGTTGAAAAAGGAACCTTTCCTACGACATGTAGTTTTTAAAAATTGCAGAAATGGCTCCCACATCTCTGTTCTCTACGTCTCAAATCGAAGTCAAGTTGCTGAAATGTAGAGGTATCCTATTGCTA